TATATATATATGGTATATGAAAAGAACACCCCCCTTGTGTGGCCGAGAAAAAAAGAAGAACGTGTTGCTCGAACGTTCGGAGCCAAGAGGCGCCACAAGCTGATTGACCCAGACTTGCCCAGCGCCCTCCAGCTGCTCCGCCAGGCAGCGCTGTAAGGAGGGGCCTCCAGCGCACGCCACTGCTTGCCACAGGAGATCTAACAAGGCCTGGCGGAACACCGGTAAACCGGTGGAAGCACCATGTGGGTTGTTTTGGGGACGGATGGAGCCAGCGGATGGAGCGAAGTCAACGGGCAGTCGTTTTCAGTTTGTTTACCTTGTGGCCCTCTTCCAGTGTATTCCTTTCGGGGAAGACTATACCCATGGTTTTCCAATATCATTCTTTCGCCAGGTAGGAAGGATAGCCTCCAAATACATAGGTTTTACGATGATTTAGGGAGTCCCGACCCCCCATGCATTCACTGTCTCTTCTTCTCGCTTGGGCACTGCACCACGCAGGGAGCGCGTGGTGACCTGGGCGGCCGCTTCAGGGGACCTCCGGGCTGCCGACATGACACAACCTATTCCTGAATCGATAGTCTGTCTTCCATTGGGACGTATCTTGACACAAGGGGACCGGAAAATGGGAACCAAAATGCTTGAAACATCGACCATCGACAAGGATCAACAAGATCCACGACGGGAATTCATAGATAGGACACCAGAGAATCCACTACTGCCATCAAATTTGTACACATGCACTGGCACTGGTTACTATTTTTGTGTTTCTAATTATTTGTATAACTTCATACTTCTGAAGTATCTGATCTGACAGTATATATTCTGAAAGTATCTGAACATATCCTGAACGTATCTGAATATGTCCTGACAGTATCTGAACGTGGTTTCGAAAGTATCCTGAAATTATCTGAAAGTATTCTGAATGTACCTAAAAGTGTTCTGAAATGTTCTGAACATCTCTGAAAGTATTGTGAACGTATCTGAAATTATTGTGAAAGTATATGCCTCAAAGGACGTGAAAGTATCCTGAAGCTTGTTCAAAGTAGCTGAAAGTAGCTGAAGATATCCTAAAAGTATGTGAAATATCCTCGTTAACATGTCAAGGAGAACCTTGATGAACCGTTCTCTAACTAGAAAACAAACAGGCCAGGTTCAAAAAAATGAAATGCGAGTCATTCCAAAAAAAAAAGAAATCAAGACTTTATCTTCATGATCTTATGCCTCTCTAGGGAATGGTCTTGTGCGGGTTCCACTGTGAATAAAATGAGACGAGTGTGAACAACAGAAAATATAGAGGCGCCAGAAAGAGGGATCGTTTGACAAGATTCATCCCTAGCAAAACGTGAAAATAACCATTCCTAGAGATGTTCAGCTATCAATGAAAATCAGGAAAGAATCAAGCAACCAATTTTTAGATAGTATAAGATCTTGTACAATCGTATATGTTTGACTTGCACATACATTGACACAGCAAGCTTTCCTCATTTCTTTTTCACTCAATCTTCGCTCCCGATTTTTCTGGCCAATCATATGTTTAAACGTGTGTTGCACTGTTTGCATATTAAACAGCTGTTTCTAGAAATGGTGTCCTTATTGATTGTTAACGTTTTGCAATTTGTAGCATACAACAGCTATAGAATGTCTTGTTAGGAATTGGTAAGGTATGGAAACACACATTTTACATCATCCCTTAAAAAGCTGGTTTATAGAAAACAGTGGGGCTCCAGCAATAAACTCGGGCCATGTGCTACTAGAAAAGTGACCCTCCTCTACGGGACTTGGGTTGAAGCATCTACTAGGGGACATGAGAACGAGGATTGTGAACGTATCCTGAAAATATCCTGAAAGTATCCTGAAAGTGTGCTGAACATATCCTGAAAGTCTGAAAGTATTCTGAAAGTATCCTGAAAGTATTCTAAAGTTGTTCTGAACATGTTTATCTCTGCCTTGGCTGGACGGGCCAAATTGGGCCCCAACACCCGACCTGAGACGACCTTGTCGAGCACTCGCACACGGCCCCACCTGTGTCATCAAGCGGTGCAAGACACCCAAGAGCACCGTATCTTCTTCCAGCTTCGCCAGGAGATAGGCCAGCGGCAAGCTGGGCTTCTGGCAAGGGTACCAAGACCGAACATCGGCGGTGTGGACAAATTGGCTTTTGCATTGAATTTTATGGTTGGACCAATCCAGTAGATCATGAGCACCCCTTTAAGCACTTCAAGAGTTTGGAAAGGCAACGTGTATTGTATATATATATATATATATGTTATGTTTCGTAAATGAGTTGAATGTACAGTAGTTATGTTCTGGCTGTGCCGCTGTATCCAACATGCCACTCCTTCTCTCTGTTGTGTTTCTAATCCTTGACAAAACCCAGCCGTCACAATTTGCAACCAAATGATAAAAACTACAAACAAAACAAATCGATCCAACAAAGCCATTCGTGTCTACATCTGCCAACCACTGCCATCCAATCCCCGAACCCCAACACCCAAACAGAATGATAAATTAGCAAAACCAACATTAACTTGGATCGAACCATTTCTTCAATACATTACCCCCCACACACACAAAAAAAAAACAAACGCACCTCGAGGACTTCATCTTCCAACTCCAAGACCTTCTCGCGGAACTTCTCCAAGGCCGATTCGATTCGCACAGCCAAGCCATACGCGTAGTGCCCTGGCGACGTCGTCTCCGTCCCGGCGTTGGCGAAGTGGCGGCGCCGCAGGGTGGCAGTGAAGTCTGAGAGCTTCTTGCAGTAGAAGCCGACCTGCAGGAGACATGGAAAGACCCGCAAGGCAAGGGCCGACCCAAATGGTGCTATGGCACGGGTGTAAGAGGGAGGCTTAAGAAAGGTGACCATTGTATTTGGCATGGATTGCAACTCTTCAAACTTGTGACCAGCGACAAAAGTCGTTGACAGAAATCTAGAACAGCTCCAAGATCCAAAACAATGACGGTATAAATTGTGTGTTCGATAACATAGCACAATGAAGAGACCAAATAGATCCAAATAGAAAACAACTCAAGTAACAGTGAACGCTGGTACGTATGTAACATACCTCGCTAGCCATACAAAACATCTTCTTTGTTCGCACATTGGCCTCTCTAGGCCCACGTGAAGCATCAATCACCAGCATCAAACAATTGCATTATGTCTTTGTTGAGGATGGAATGGAATTCCACCGCTACTCCACAACGCTTCCGAAAAGCGGGGCAAAGGAACGCAAGGTTTCGATGGTTCGATACCTGAAACACATTGACACACAGACCTGAAACCTCCTGAAACCGTCGATGGTCGAGCTGTCCCAGAGTTTTGGTGAGTAGTTCTCTCTCATATTGAGCCAGGCCCCACAGAGAATTCCAACCGTTTCCATCATCATACCTTGGTCTCAAACATACCTCGGTCCATCATCATACCTTTTCCAACCCTTTTCTTCCAACCTTTTCCATCATCATTCCACATGTCTCAAACAAAAATGGGCCGCTGAAGCTATACATCTCACCCTGGCTCCTCTGACCCCTTGTCTCCAGTACTGGCTCCGGTGTCAGCCAACGTGGCCCAACTTCAGCCCACGCCCTCCTTCCGCACCTTGAGGGTCTTCTCCAGCAGTTGTCGCTCTCCTTCAGTGATGAAGCTCTGTGGTGCTAGCGTGAAGCCTTCGGGTGTCTCGACCACCTGACGCAATGAAAACACACACACGCCCCGCGTGGATTTTTTGGGGGGGCGCAACGATGTCGAAGATCAAAGCATTGGGATCATTGCTTCGTCTATCCTAAACGCAGCCAAATGACTGGCATGACCTCAGAAAAGGCACCCAAATGCTAAAAGTCTATGTAAAATGAAAACATATTTATGAAAAACTAAAACATATTAAAACACACTTGGTAGGCAAAGGATGTCTTCATCTTCCAAATCCCTCCTTTATCCGCCCAAACTCTTTGAATCAGTCTCTTATTGTATTGAACGATTTTCAGGTCAAGCAGCGAGGCCACCGGTGTAGCCCAGCAAGGCAAAAAGCAGCTCATGCATCACACCCACATCGCTCATGGCCGCGAGCACCGTGTTGCACGCGATCGTCGCCACACACGCGGAGCACACAGCGGAGCACCGAGTGGGACGGTGGAGCGGAGCGGCCAAGAGCGCCGAGAGGTCATCAACAGTGAAGACCACAGTGAGAAAACAAGACAACAGTGAGAGGTCTCTCACTGTTTTCTCAGTAGTTTTATTTTTCCGTTTGAACTGTGGAACTGCTGCGCCGCTCCGCCGATACTAGACTGTAGCAAAACAAACACGATCAAGGATGGAGTTTCTTGAAAGGACTTCTCCAACAAAGAGCGACTGCCTAAGCAGAACCAACGTCCAAACTGCCATTCTGTTTGGTTTAAGAAGGCCATCGATCTGGTCATCTGCATATGATTTGGTCATCTGGGCCCATAAACCTCTGATCAGGCATGTGCGGCCGTATCCGAGCGATTCCAAGCTCAATCCATGCACAGACACGGGTGTGCAAATAAACCCGGTTCGGAGATTGTCCTATTGAAATACAAGCCGTGATCTCCTTATTCCGTCGAAATTGTCCACGGACAAGCTGCCCCACGCCCCACGCGAGCTTTTCCTCATAAGAATCCCATACCATCCATGTGTATGTAATTGCTACCTACATTAGGATCCTAAATGGGGTAAATGTATGCACCTACTTCGTACATGGGTGGTTTTATGGTTTGGATCCTGGACCTTCGCCGGTGCCGACTCTGCAGCACCACTTCTTCAGCTTTCCATGGAACACAATCCATGGACCATTCAGCAGGAATGAATCGGTCCAGAACAGAACCAAAAGACACTTTTCCAAATGGTGTTGTTGGGGCGTCTGGAGGCCTTAGGGTAACACCAACAACCCAAACAAAAAGCATGCATAGACTGTTCACAAAACAATCCCATGCCATCCACGCCCGGTGAAATCGAAACGGTTCCGCAAGGACCTCGGCTCCCCGACGATCTCCCAAATCTTCCGGTTCTGCGGATAGTACAGCCTCATGGCAAAACAAAATGTTCACGTCAAATGTTTTTCGTTGTTGTGAAGTTAGCTTAGCAAAAAGAGAGAGAGAGAGAGAGAGAAAAAAAAACATCAAACAACATCAAACCAATGTGTTGAGATTTTCCTCTTTCACATGGAGGGTTTCAGTGCTTGCCACAGTTCAAGATTACACCGGCATAGGCCCCAGATAGCGGGTGCATAGGTTTGTCACCCCTAACACAACATGATGTCATCCCTTGCATGGCATGATATAATACCTGGCATGACATGATGTCGCCCCTGGCATGACATGATGTCATCATCCCTCGCAAGACATGATGTCATCCCTGGACCAGCACCAGCACCTGCAAGACCAAAACGCCGATCCAAAGCCAGCGCCTGCACACGCACCAGCATCAGCACGGCAGCAGCACCCGCAAAACCAAAACGCCGATCTAGGGCCACACCATTGAGAAGTTAGAACCCCTATAACCTGCAGCTATCAGGGGAACAAACTCAAACCAAAACAAATCAGAATACACATGGAAATGACAAATGGCTGGGGGTTCCCTGTTTCTATGCCAGTTCAATCAAACTGAATATTATGCACAAATCCACCCGTTCGGCTGTGTCTTTTCGGGCATCAAACACGAAAAAACTCCAACGCCCTTGGCGATGTTCCCCGTGTGTACGTACTTGTTTTTTATTTTTTTCAGAATAGCCTTTGACTACACTTGATGTAGTCCTGTTTGAGCATGAAATACTACTTGCCAATAGTAGGGAGGGGGAGCAATTAGATATTTTCGATATTGAGGTACAGTAGTACAGGGCCACCTGTATTCGTTGGCAATGCAGCTTCCCATGCACTCAACTCACCAAGCAAGGCGAAGAGGTTTCAACACTGGGCTTGCCCTGCGCATAGCCCTTGTAGAATGCAAACACCTGAGTCGGTAACGCTTAACTTATGAACTTATGAGTGACCCTGCGTGAACACAAACTTTGGAGCATACACCAGCAGCCATGCTTTCACCACAACACAGTCGCAACAGCCAGTCAAAAGCATAAAGGTCAACAAGCGGTCATGATTTCTGGGACTACAGCAATCAAGTCTTCAAGCAATTACAAACATATACAAAAACTCAAAACAAAAAAACACACACAGCAACTGGTCTCTCAGAAAGTTCCCTCCAAGCGCCGCACGAACATGTAAAACGTGTAAATGTAAGCATAGTACCTCACCCAGCCAATTTGATGACGGCTTGGGTTGCTGAATCAAGGTCCTTGTCCAACCCTGCACAGGTTTGTCAAAACGTGTTTTCAGAAGACACGAATGGATGGAGTTCCTACGTCTGTGACTCGGGATGGTAGTTGCGTTTCTCCATAATTGTTTGATATACGATTTCTAGATTCGTTGGGACTCACATACTCTCCCTATGAAAGTAAGCAAGGATGGTCGGGTTTTGGAAACTCAAGATAGCTCAATGACCTTCCGAAGAGTTGATGAATGAACTTGGATCCACCAACTGCGGGTAGTCAACTGCATTTCGGCCACTTAGAGTCGGACCATGCAAACGATTGAATCAGCTACTTTGGACCTGATCTATAGAATTCATGGCACCTTCTGCCTTCTGCAGTCCTTTCTATATTGCATTGAACGTTCAACACTGCTTTCCTAACAAGACATGGACTACAACAACTACAACTACTACACATGTTTTTTTGAAGTTCCGCGCCGTTTACAAGTCTGCCAAAGTCAAACACAAGTCAACAGAATGCACATCCCTTTAAGAAGCATCATCCCACATTCTCCATCCAGACCCATCCAGCTCCACCGTTTTCGTGTTGACCGGTCTCACCGGTCTCACGTCTTCTCACGTCCTCCCCGGTCGCACGTGTGGGCGAAAAAGAAGATCCTCACCTCGGAGCGGAGGAGCCGAGGGGGAGCGGCGAGGAGCGGCGAGTCGGGCGAGTCGAGCTCTCTTTGGGGGACGAGTCGGGCCGGCTACCTGCCTCGAGTTTTTCGCTTGCTACGCGATTGAAGGTTGAGGAATTATCATGTCTTTTTTGTTTAATCTCCATATGACTGCAAAACCAACAGTTTGTTGGTGGTTGTCTATGTTTGTTCTGAAAACAGATGTACTTGTGGCGCTGGTTTTGCATAAAGCTGATTTGGCTTTGGGCAATGTTGAGCAGTATTGCTTTCATTTGCTTTCTTCCGGGGCAGTGCTGAACACTCCGTGTGGGAAGACCCGAAAGAATCCAAAAGAACAAACAGGTGCATGATGGGAAGGGGGCAGTACTTGTGTGGTTCCGGAAGTTCTCATCCGCATGACCGTTATGACTCATAACCAATATAAGGTTTCCAATAGGTTCTCATTCTTGTTCACCAACCCCAAACCCGGAAATTCCACCAGCCAAAAACGGTGTTTTTGGCTAACGAACCCTCTATTCTTGATTCTTCAGGCTTTTCAGTGCCCCAAACCAGTTGCTTTCTTTGAGAGCTACATAAGGAAACAAAAACATGTAAACTAACATGTAACATGTGTCTTCTCAAGAGTCCCAGCCTGTTAGTTCTCGGGCATGTGAACCTCCGTTGCCCATCTGTCCGCTCCAGAAAAGGACGTTGTTCGGCCTCGACTTCCTCCGACCGAACCGCCTTTGCGATCGAGGGGCCCAAGGTGTGAGATTCTGATAGTTGGGCAGCTTGGGCCTTGAGCTACTGGGCCTTGGATCACTCCCGTGAGCGGGAAAGGGAAGGATGGGCATCGAAGAGTTCGGCAGCTGAGATCGTGCGGGAAGGTCTAACCTTGAAGCAAAGAACAAACATCTCCAACATGTGTCTCTTCAGTCCGTTTGGGGATCCTAAGAGTTTACCTGCCTGAGGATGACGGTGCACAGTGCACATACTTAAAGTAATAGGTGTTTTTAATCCAAATCAGTCTGTCCATGTATGACCTATACTTACCGTTCAACTTTGGATGATTTCAGAAGTGAATGTAGGTATCTATTCCAGTCCCATGGAGTATTTAGTTCTACTGTATTATTGTATATATAAATACAGTTACATATTATATATAAATGCGTTGCATCATTTCTTCGAGGGGGATGGGGCTCCAGGTCTGGTGGGACTATATATACCGTGTCACACCTGCGCCCGGCAATCTGTCAAATCGTCTTTGCAACTGATGGACAAAACAGGTCAAGAAACACATGAAACACACATTGCCTGACGTTGTTCATTTTTTTCCTGTGCGTTGATTGCAGCAAAACACACACATATGAATCTCAGAACCGTGTGATTGTTGGGAAGTGACACAAAGCACTTGTTGTATTTGGCACACAGAACTCTTCTGCGGGCTCTCAGCTGCTTGAAGGGTACACTTTCCATGTTCTTAAAGTAATCAAAACATCACGAATCACAACATTCAAGACCCGAAGATCGATGCAGCACATTCAAAACATCTTGTTGCTCCGATCTCTCTGCTGTCGTCGCAATCCGAGCAGGGATTCAGTTTGGGAGAACCACACAACAAATAAACCACACCCAGCCCCATGGGCGTTCCGAACGGGCACATCAGCACAGTCTTGTAGACGGGCTGGCGAAACCGAGCGAAGAACATGTCCGAATGAATGTGGGATCAACTCTGTGACTCAACTTTCCAGACCATTCATGGGACTGGAGTAGTGATAGTAGTGATATGATGTGATATACTTACATTCACCCCATGTAAACAAAAACTCCAATGTAATAGGTAACTATTCATTAATTCCATACGATGGATGGTCTGGGCACTCTCCAAAAAAACATGTTGATCAATGATGGACCTTGGAGGACTTCGGAATATCCGGAAAAATAAACAGGTGAACGATGGTGCACTGCTCCACTTCCATGATGATTTCAGGGAGTGTACTTTTTTGGTATCTTTGTGTTGATGTAGTGGTGATTGACCTGCAAGATTGTTGGTCAAAAAGAGCCGGCTGGTTGAATCCATCACCAAATCTAGCTCTCTGACGATTCCCTCCTCCAACCCTCTGTGCCGGCATCTTCTCCGAAGTCCGAAGCTCATCTTCCAGACTGATACAAGTGCCACCATTTTTTTGACTGACAAGAACCCTAAAAGCGATCCGATCCAAATGAATGTCAGCTTGACATCTCAACAGTCAACAGCTTGGGGGAAGCACGGGTTGATTCGTCCAAGAACATCACCTGTCCGTTTCGGTTGGTCCAGCGGTCCAGCCACAAGAACCCCAGAATTGCTGCTTGAGAAAGATCCAGTCCAAACCATCAGAAACTATGAGAAAACCTATCGTTTTTGAGAGTCAAAACTGAGTCCAAACCAGGCTTTTTTAAGATGATGTATAGTTGTTTCACGTCTTTTACCTTGGAACCAAGCCGTCAAAAGTACATGGGTTGTCCTGCATCCCTGGAAACCAACCCAGCTGCCTCGGCCTTCAGGCCTCGGTTTTGGGGACGGTGCCGACTGGGTGGGATCAGTATCCACCAAGTAGGTGACACCATGTGAGTGCTCATGTGAACACCTAGAAGATTCTGGGGGCAGGTGGAGGGGAACTTGAGGCCAAGGGGGGGGGCGAAAGCTAGCGCTCCAGAATGGGAAAGTGGAGGGCAGCGAGGTAGGAAAAAACACGGCGCTCTTTTTGGAGGCAGTCGCACAGAGTAGCAAAAGGCAGGACGCCTTGCACAAGTTGGGCGGGGCAAACGATTCCAGGTGAAGAGTCCTTTATATGTGGCTCTTTGCCCGGATCCTCCTGCGAGAGAAGAGAGGGAAGAGAGACGGAAAGACGAGAGACAGAGAGGAGAGAGAGAGAGAGGAGAGAGAGATGAGAGAGAGATGAGAAAGAGATGAGGGAGAGATGAGAGAGATGAGAGAGAGATGAGAGAGAGATGAGAGAGATGAGAGAGAGAGAGAGACAGTGAGAGTGAGAGTGAGAGTGAGAGTGAGAGTGAGAGTGAGAGTGAGAGTGAGCGAGTGCGGCCGCAAGATACGCAACGCTAACCGCATGCCAAAGAGCGACGACAGGACGGAGCCGAACTTGCGAAGAGGGAGGAGGGAGGGAGGGAGGGAGGGAAGGAGGGAGGGAGGGAAGGTGGGAGGAGAAGAGGAGGTGGGGAGAGGGGAGGTGGGGAGCACCCGATCGAAAGAAACCTTGCTATCGCAAGAGTAACTCCAGCTAGCTTCGCTAGCTTTCGTGACATTTCGGAAAGACCTGAAGTGTGGAGTAGAATCATGAAGCTTGTGTAAAATGAAGTGAAAGGGATCCCCAGGAAAGTCACAGCAACATTGGAGAAACAAACACAATAATGTAATACTATATTGTGTGTATGAAAAGCCCTGGCAAGTAAGTCCAAGAATCTCAACACCACTGCAGAAATTGATTTGACAAGCTAGTTGCACCTGTCACCAAAGCTCTTCCACCAAGAGAACACACCCAAGGAGGCAGCTTCTGGGCTTGCATGCTGCCTGCACGTCCGATCTGCTAGGAAAATGATTGACAAAGGGGTGTTGCTAGCCAAAAGGCCAAGAGTACAGTCGGTGCGACGCCCCGAGGGAGTGAGGCAAGGAAGGCCGAAAAACAGCACTTTCAACGGCTGGAAAAGCTTCGTCTCTGCTGTTGAAGAAAAAGGTGTCTGCGGACTAACGTTGGCTCACCTGACTTGGGAAAGGTGGCTGGATCCTCCATCAGCCACCTACTCCAGGTCGGTCAGTGTGACTGTGTCTCATGTATATATCCAAGCATATCATCCAGGCATTATGGACATATTCAGGTGAGTCGGACTTACCAAGTGCAGGCAGAAGGAGTCCCATCAAGGCAGGCTAGGCTTGTGAGACAAAGAATGATCAATATCCTTGGGCCGGTCTGAGTCATCGAAGCGCGTCTGGGGCCGATGTTTGCAAGCTAGTTTGTGCTTGCCAAGGCAAGCCGGACATGATGCCATGCCCAAACTAGCACAAACACACATTCGTCCAGCGGCGCATAACATGAGCGACGAGTTATATAGAATTGCTAGAAGTCTTGTACCTGGTGATCCTCCCACCAAACACGTCATTTCATGTCATTTCTATGGTCTTCCACATCCAAGTCCAACAAGTACACTCATCACTTCCGCACCAAATGGACTCGACGGGTGTTACGGACTCGGTTGGCGCGCCCCGTCCCGTGTTTAGAGTTCAACACTGCGAAATGGCATAATGGTATGGGTCCCCTGAGAAAAGCCCTTCCTGAGGATGAAACGGGGTGTTTCACCTTGAAAGAAGTGTTCACCGGCTCCAGTCTGGCTCCAGGAGGCTTTCCAGAGCGAACCCGCACTCACTTCCAACAACATGCAAAACAACACAGGTTGAAAGAGGGATCTTCCTTGACACCTACTCCCAAACACCCTTTTCAGTTGCTGCTGTTCACCGCGACCAAAGGTCACAGTGCCTACCTCGACGTCTTTCGACATAAGGATTTCCTCGGACACTGCTTTGCAGCAGTTAGTGGGGTGACAAGCATCTCATCAGGGTTGGCTTTGGGTCCAGCAACCAAGACTTCTGGACCAGGAATGTGCCATAATTTGAGGTTAGGTTTTGAGCTGCAAACTAATTGTCTAGCAATGTCCACAGTGACAGTGACGTCAAGAATGCTTGTTAGATGACCCCAATGTGGAGGGATGTATGGCAGCTGATCAGAATGCCCCGCTCAAGAAGGCTCCAAACGTCTTTTTGTCCACCTGAGACAAGTAACGGTCTTTGACATCCGTTGACATCTGATCTCATCGGAAATTCGATGGATCACAAAGTTCAACACGAACCAAAAGCCCAGGGTCACGCTTCCAACCCCTACCTGGCTGTGGGTTGAACCTGGAGACCGACCGGTTGACCGAATTATATACCTGGAAGGTGCTTCGCTACATCGTGCACCGAGGCTCCAGGTCTTAACCCATCCCTATTGCTTGGAATCAGAGTCTCATAGACTTCAGAAGAGAGCTAGGTCAGGTCAAGAGGTTTTGCCAATGTGTCTCGAGGCCGCTCCAGAATTCTACACGTCATCAGAAGCGCCGGCCAAAAGAGGCCTTTGTTTCGCCCATCTGTCTTTGCATCATTGCAGTCCGACTTGTTTTGTTCAATTATTGAAGCATTGAATAACCTTGTAGATGGTGATTTCAAGATGTTTAAACCTTTGGTTAAACATGTTTGAATCAGACTCCCCTGTAAAAGACATGGTTTTGTCGGGGTTTGATCAGAGACTCTCCGAAAATAAACACAACTCGATGTGGGCACCATTTGACATGACAAAACTTCACATTTAGCCTGTTGGGAAAAGCAAACAAACAGAAATAGAAAGCATTAAACAGCGAAGGGCCGCTTCAAACGAGATTCCAACGTATTCTGTTTGGGGATGTTTACTTCTCAATGAGATATTTTCAACAAAGCAAAAGTGCCTCCTCAGTCATCCATGTCGATCACTTTGGAGGACATCTTCAGCTGACACTATCCAGATTTCTTGGACAATGTGTCCACTTACACCTGTAGGGAAGCCCCCAAAACCTGTTCACCGTCCTTCGTCCCTCATCGCCCAGCGGCAGTTTCTCGTTCGCTATCCCCCCCCCCGGTCGCCACGGTCCCTCCGCGAGGTGTGACCGGGGTCGACCGTCTTAGATCATGGATCTGAGCCCAGCGGCAGTTGGAGCGGCGGTTTGTGAATCACCACTTGGGGCTCCCAGCAACTGAGAGCCTAGAGGCCCTCGTGTTAACATGAGTTCCCCGCAAAACGTGGTTTTCTATCATATTATTCTAGGGTCTCCACTTGTTGAGGGGGGGAGGGGGGGTTGATTAATCAAGGGACTACATAACTGAAGGTCAAAGCATGACATGGGTATCTCCACTTCTCACTGTGCTTTGACGTGCTCGGCGCGTGCTTTTGATGCGAAACGCGCGTCGGTCCGCACGGTTTGGGCTGGTCCGAGCAGCCACTTACTCAGTGACTTGAGGAGACTGACATCTGCTTGGGTGAACAAGATCGCCAAGAGTGCCAAGAACCTCAAAGGAGATAATTACAAACCAACATGTGTTTTTTTACGTATCAGTATCTTGCCGAAGGCTTCTTACAACAATTATAGCCACTTGACTCACTAAGTAAGTGGATGCGGCCACCGGTTGCTTTCTGGCCTCAGCCAGCCCCAGTCTTCGCAGCCCACCGCCAGGCTGCTCTGGGGAGACCAGTCACCACAAGTGTGGGGGCTTCCAACCATTGGTTGGATATGGTTGGATGATCAATAGATGGGATACATGCCCGGTCGTGAACCATCAATAGGTCTATGGTAATTACCTGATAGACAACACCCTCTATGCCCGGTCGTACGGACATCACTCCAACTCCCAACGAAGACGGTGTTTCAGATGGATCCAATGAGCCCGAGCAATCTCTGGTCTTCTCTTTCAGAGTTGACCCCTACGTGAGCGCTCTGCACAGTCCAGCTGCAATGGTCTGCTGCAAAGCTGGCTTTGCTTCAAGTCAAGCTCGTGTGGTGTGTGTGTGTGTGATGTGTGTGTGTGTGTGTGAGGGTGTCAGTGCGTGGCCATTGTCTACGCTTTTTAGCTGCTGGGTTATGTACACATTCCGATATATAGCATGGTTTTCCGGAGATGTTCACCCGCACATGCCTTTACAATTTAGGTCATGGGCTACATCAAAAGATATAAAAAGACTCACAAGTACTCCTGAACTGCCCCGATAGTTGATTAAGAGCTCATCATTGCCATGCCTCGCGTTCAGCGCAGCTAAGCTCTTCTCCTGCAGTGGAGGAGTAAGAGATCTGAGCACTGACCATGGGGTCTGACACCAGTAGTATTTGCGATGATGGGAACAAGGTTGTTTGAGGTTTCAGAAGTTACTGACTGAGAAGGTTGATGGCGGAACCCATTGCGGATCTGTGTTCTTGGGTCCATTGGACACAAACTTTTCGTCTAAGGATCACCTAAACAGCCGGCAAACATGGAAAGTGCATGGAGGAATGGCATCATCATTCAGACTCCACTGTAACGCCCACAACAGGTCACCACCCATGGTACTGAAACACACCAAATCCTCCTCAAGAGACCTTGGAAGCGGTATATTTGCAGGTACTGCTCAGGTTGTCGTTGGATCCGTCCAGTTCGCATGACCAAACAGGCTAAGCAAAGAATCCACTAAGCTCAGCAGGCACACCGTGCACCCATTGGCCACCCATTGGCCACCCATCTCTAGTTGAATGAACCAGCGTAAGCATATAATTATATAGCTGTACCTGGGAATGGTTCAAGTGCAAAGCCAGAAAACCATGCCCAAGCCATCCATGTATGGAATAGTTACTTGCATTAGGGTCATAAATGGGGTTCACGTATAACTATTCCATATACGGAGGGTCTCATATATTGACTTCCATGTTTCTGAGTCGGGGTGCAAACCTTTGCGATGAAGATGAACCGAGCAGTACCTCCTTCAGAACTCTTGGTTCAAATGTCCAAGACTCTTGCGATGGCCGCTCCAAAGATAGAGATGGCCGCGTCGAGTTCGGATGGGGATGGCTTGGTCTCTGTGTTCTTCCGCCCAATTGGGTGTTCACTACAAGGCAGCCATGTGCTCGCCGGGCCAAACCCCTGGCGATTTTCAGCTTGCAAGCACAAATGAGAGCAGGGTCTAGAATGATCTGTGCGCTTGGTCATCATATGACTAAACAAGTGAACAAGCACACAACAGGACCTTCCCAGTGACCTTTTGAGATCAATGAGGTCACTTAGGCCTTGAAAAGGTCACTTGCTAATCCTGAAGAGATCACTGGGAAGGTCCTGGCCGTATCTTGTCTATAGATTCTATCTTTTTGGGTAGCAGCAAGGACGCTACTAGGAGCAAAGGGCATCGCTATTAGGAGCAAGGACGCTACTAGGGGCTCCTGGCCTTACTACTAGGAACAAGAAGCTACTAGCAACAAGGAATGCTTACGGCTCCCCCCCTTTCATGGCTCCACTACTCCACTGCCACTCCTCGACTGCTCGAGGATGCGGAGCGCTCGTTGGCCTCGCTGGAATCGCCTGACCGGTGAAGGAATCAACGCAGTCGGAGTTCCTGGCTTTCGTTACAAAGGCCCTATCATATTCCTTGTTACTAGTAGCTTCTTGTTCCTAGTAGTAAGGCCAGGAGCCCCTAGTAGC